CTTCCAAGCTCTCGCATGAGACGATGCACACAACCTCGTCCTCTACACACGCGGCGCCATCGAGCGCGCCCAACAATGTCGCCGATACCATCACCCCCATAAACACGCCGCCCGAGACGCGCATCTCCGTCTTCCCAGCCGACGGCGTGCTGGGACAACGCTCCACCTACGACGCACAGCTTGACCCTAAGCTCGATAAAAAGGCGCGAGGAAGGGGAACGGCCAAATACACCACAATACTGGACAAGGTACGTGAAGGTTGCAAATACATACATAGATGTGGTCGCCCTGTGACGCTAAGGCTAACTTAACTTGTGTTACAGGGCGACCCATCTCCTCCTCCCGATCCACGCCTGGCCATTGCCGGCTACACCACTGGCAACTATGTCATCAAGACATCCTTCACGGGCGCTCCCAAATCAAAGCTCCGAATAGCGCCATACGTCGCTAAGCCCTACTCTTTTGATCAACGCATATCATGCGGTCCAGGGCCTGCAACCCAAGTCGTTGTGACGGGCTTCGATCCCTTGACACCAGATGCGCAATTGCGTGGTTTCTTCTCCACTTACGGCCAAGTAGAGACTCTCCGCAATCAAGTACATCCCGATAACGGCAGCCCACTTGGGATATGTCTGGTCAAGTTTCGCGACACCCCACCAACGCGCGGAGTACCTGGCATCAAAGCAACCACCTCAGCAAAGCGAGCTGAGCGCGAAGGCACAAATCAGCGCATTGCGCAACACACGATCAGGGTGAAATCTGATCGCGAGGGCCGGAGATGCCAGAAACTCATGGATATGGCGGTGCAGCAGACCCGGAAAGAGGAGGAGAAGCAGCGTGCCAAGCTCGCAGCGAAGACTGCGAGCGTTGCGGCACCAGCTACACCGGGAACCTTTGATCTGCCGGCAAACGTTCCCAAAGGCCCATCTGGCAAGGGCGCGCGTCCGCCAATTCCGATCCCTCGAGAACCCTTGACAAGGAAAGCCGCACTCTCCTTTCTCATCGAACGCGAACCAGTCAAGCCTACGCTGAAACGAAAGCCTTATATTTTCATCGCACACGCATACGTACCCGTCCTCAGCACAACCGTCGAACATCTCAAGAAGCGGTTAAAGAACTTTCGGTGGGCTTCGGTGCGATGCGACCAGACGGGTTACTATGTGACTTTCGAAGAGTCGAAGCGTGGTGAAGACGAGGCCGTTCGATGTTACAAGGAATGTCACATGCAGGCTCTATTCACCTACGTTATGAACATGGAGTGCAACCAATACGGCGACCCGAACTATGAGCGGAGTCCCAGCCCAGAGCGCGTGGTAGCCGACAAGAAGCGGAAGGCCATCGAAGAGCGGATAGAACATGAAGAGGCGGAAGATCTCGAGTGGGAAAAGAAGCAGCGGGCAGACTCGCTGGATCCTGTACGAGCCGCTTTGGACGTGCTCAAGCAGGAGCTCCAAGAGAAGCTTCTTGGTGACATTAAGACGAAATTGGCCGCGCCCACTATACTGGAACTCCTGGAACCGGATCTTCATGTGGAAAAGCGTCGCAAGTTCAATGTTCCGGCTCCGCCTACGAAGGAAGAGGTTGTTCGACCACCCGCACTTCTCGCCCCAGGATTCGACGCCTTTGGAGCTGGTACACCAAAGGGCCGCAATGGTGGTTTCGGCGGCCGCAACGCACGCAGGTCGTTGGGTGTATTTGATCCTAGCACCAGGCGTGGTAAGAAACCTCCGAAGGTTGTCAATGCATTTGCGGACGAACGAAGGAAGGCATCTGCGCCTAAACCCCGTGTTGCCCGTGGGCTGCATCGCCAGATGATTGAGATGTTCGAACCGGAGGAGTCGGATGATGAGAGTCGCAGCCAGCTCACTCGCGGTACTGAGGAGCAAGAGAGCCGACCCATCAGCCGTGCTCCTTCCACCGACGTTGAAGAGGAGGTGGAAGAGTCATCGAGAGCTCACCGCGCTAAACGGCGCCGTATCGAAACGGGCTGGGGCGAAGACAGTGACGAGGAGATGGACGACTCGCATGCAAGGAGTTTGCTTGCCCATTGCATTCACAAGGATCCAGAGAACATGGCCGAGAAAGAGCTGGAACAAGTACTCGCAATTCTTCCTCGTTCGTCGCCTATTTGGAAGAAGGCAGACAAAGCACTCAAAGGGTTCAGGAGGTTACGGAAAATTGAGCAAGAGGCTGATGCAATCTTTGGGGTGGAAGCAAGCCCGATTGACAAACTTGAACCTGAAGTCGTCATCACCCATGATGACGAAGCACTCAAGCCCATCGAGACTACTGAACTGCCAGAGACGCTCACGACACTCAAGAAGAAAGCTGCCACCAAGCCCAAGAAGAAGACTAAGAAGCAGCTCGAAGAGGAGGCCAAGGCTGCCAAGATCGAGGTTACGGAAATCGAGACACCTGCGGAAGAGGAGATCGCCGAAGCGAAAGAAGTCAAGGAGGTCATCGAAGAGGTCGTGGTGGAGGAGTCGACGCCAGAAGACGACGAGCGGGCCTCTTCTGTATTCTGGGGCGTGTCCTCTGTGGAGCCTCGTAAGACTGTTGAGGATGACCTCAGTGTTGTAATGGACATTGACGGTTGGCAACATATGCTCAAAGACGACGAGGATCTCCGTCACCTCAAGGCTGCCATGGAGTCCATCAGTGCCGCCAAGATTGGCGATGCACAATCCTGGGCATGGAAACAAAAGTCTATCAAGCATCTCAATCGCAACGGCGAGGAGGGTGTCTCGCGTACGGAAACCAAGATCGAAGGGTACTACGTTCCCAACGCGACTGGCTCGGCTCGTACGGAGGGTGTCAAGAAGATTCGCGAGTCTGAAAAGTCGAAGTACCTCCCTCATCGTATCCGCGTCCAGAAGGAGCGCGAAGAGCGCCAGCGCCGCGCCAAGCAAGAAGAGCGAAGTGTCGTCTCTGTTGAAGGCTTCAAGTTCCAGACCAGTTCCAACAAGACATCCACCGCCAATTCGCGTGCCAACCGCGCCAACAACCGTCGCATGGTCAACGATATCAACATATCCAAGAACATGTCCGGTGCTGAAGGCGATGCCCTCCGTTTCAACCAGCTGAAGAAGCGCAAGAAGCTAGTCAAGTTCGACCGTTCCGCCATCCATAACTGGGGTCTTTACGCCCAAGAGCCCATCGCCGTCAACGACATGATTATCGAGTACGTGGGTGAAAAGGTTCGACAACGCGTTGCCGATCTCAGGGAAGCCAAGTACGACATGCAAGGTGTCGGATCGAGTTACCTATTCCGCATTGACGAAGACACGGTCATCGACGCAACCAAGATGGGAGGCATTGCAAGATTCATCAATCATTCTTGCACGCCCAACTGCACGGCCAAGATTATTCGCGTCGACAACACGAAGCGTATCGTCATCTACGCGCTGCGGGATATCAACTCTGGTAAGCACAATTCCTTTTTACGGACAATTTATGCCACGGAACATCTACTAACAATATTTCCAGATGAGGAACTCACGTACGACTACAAATTCGAGCGTGAAATGGACGCTACGGACCGTATCCCCTGTCTCTGTGGTTCTATCGGCTGCAAGGGCTTCCTCAACTAGTCAGCTTCGCATGGCTTCAGCTCTGCTTCGGCTCCCTTGGTACATTATCTTTGCGCCGGCTTTCCTTCAACATCACACTTTTGCAGCGCTACATCGCTGCTTCTTTTGTTTCAACACCTACACTTGGCAGGGAGCGAAAAAAGGCGGCTCCTCCCCATATGCACATGAAGCTAGGCTTCATCTTGGATTCGGGACTGGAAGAAGAGGGAAATCTTGCATTGCATGGCGTTTTTCAGTGGCTACATATTATCACCATCTTCCTGGCACCCCTTTCTTCCTTTGAGAGAAAGGGTGCGAATGTATCATTTTTCTTATCCGACTAAAAGAATGGGCAAAGGGTGGGTGGGCGGCACTTGCCCTTGACTTTATCGATGGGTTTTAGTCAGTCGGGTCACATCTTTGGCATTGTATCTGGTGTTTTGTCGCTTTATCTTTTTTCCACTACGCTCAAAATCACCATTTGTACTATTTTAACATCTCTACGAAGAAGAGGCGTCGATGGAAGAGTGGTAGAAAACTCATGGTATGTGTGTGTCTGTGTGTCGGCTTTTGTGCCGTATTATCGACACCGGTAGCTATAATCAGTTCGCAAGGGAACAGAATGAGAAGATTGATCATATATACACTGCCCATGTTAGACCTTGAGTGAGGTATATATAGTCTTTTCTCTTGATACCCTATTCGAACAGTCATCCCAGCTAGCTACCCAACGAAATGACGTGCGGAACGCAGCATCTCAAGGTTCCTCTAGGAGACTACTCCACGGCCCTGTTGCGAAACCGGCGGCTTGGTAGCACAGGCGCGGGTCCCGGGGTCCGAAGGTATGATGGGGGCTATGAGGTGGCAGGTCAGACATTCGTATCGCGGTGGTAGTGGGTATGCTCGCTATGATCATGGGAGTGGCAGGCAGACTTACAAGAAAGGCCTCTTTGCAGCATTGTCTGGGTGCCCATGCGCTTCATGTCTAAGTGGTGCATGTGTGTTAGCCTCTATCGTGTTACGATCCGACATGAAATCCCGGAGGTAAGCCAGTGATCAAAGGAGATGGCCTGGCAGCGCCCAGGGGTGGTTGAGACATGACGTGACGGCTATTGCACGTATCAGACCCTTGAGATGGGGGCAAGGAGACCGGGGAAGCTTACTCGGAAGATGCAGTGTCCATATCGTGACCGTGACTATATGCGGACTGCATCCAAATATCTTTGGGGGCGTTGGATAACTGACCGAAGACTCTATCCCTGGGGAAAGATTTAGTATTTGTGTATGGAAGGCTCTTTAACTCTGGGGTTTCCGTGTACGGTTGTAGTTTAGTTGAGAGAAACAGACGAGTAAATAGTATCGTAGTGGACACTACAATGAAGCTGGAACGAGCCTCGGGTGTGTTCGATGAATCTTTTCGCGATAAAGCCTTCAGCATGGGCCACGATTTTCCTGGAATTTTGCGTACAAGCTCTCTAAATCCGGTGTCTTCAGCATCTCCAAGATTAGGTCCTTACTTTCGCCCATGTCGGCAAATCCAAAGGCTCCGATATCACAGGCGTTCTTTTCAGTAAAAACGCCGTCTCGTGGATCTGAAAGACGCTCCTTCGGGGTGTTTAGCATGGCCTTCCATCGTCGTGAACCCCGACTAATATCTCTTGGGTATGCAGACCAGACCTTTTTGTGCAAACGCAGATGTTTGCTCTCGCAGTGTTGGGAACGAATGAATGAAATGCATACATACCATGGATCAATACGCTCCTCCCTCTTTTGCTTTCTCAAGATATTCAAAATGACGGCAGCCTCTTTGATAGCAAAGTGATCGGCAATGTGCTGCAGGTGCTTCAGACTCCAATCGACTGCAGTTTGTGGACAGCTTTTTGACCAAGCAACAACGTAGAGGCTGAAAATCAGTATGTAGACATCGAGGATATGCGGTATGCTGTGTGAATGTTGTTTGCCCGTGCTTCCACTAGGCAGCTTATCCTTTGCGACGAGGTCGCAGTCCGTCATCTGAGGAACCGATGCGACAATCTCTTGGACGAGAGCCAAGATGGCAGTATTTGCTCGATCACACTGAGCAGCAACTTCAGGATCACAGCTCTCGGAACAGGATTGGATGATCTCCTCGCAGAGAAGTATTCGTGCTATGCGAAGCACGTTCCACATCTGGGTGATCATGCGATCGGGGTAGACGTCATATACCCTTGGGAATCCTGCGGGTACAAGTCTTGCACCATCAGGGCCGGACAGACTTTTGCGTTCATACGTCCAAGCCGGGCTTGCTTCAAGTGCAACAATCTCGAGCTTTCGATCAAAGTAATCGCTCTTCGTTATCCTTTCTTCCGCCGTCATAAAGCCCTTGCGCATCTCTGCGGCTAGATCGGTTATGTCAAGCATCAATCCGCTGAGCTTCCACTTCGGATAGTCAGTATTGACGAATTGTGCTGCGTGTACTCGTATTTGTCGTATAGACGGGTCCACCACTCGCCCGGTGCTCAATGAGCATATCGTCGCGTTCAGGGAAAGTCCCATCAACGCCCGCATCTCAGTGCCTTCCTTGAACGACTCTACACCTCGCAGTTTAACCAATGTAAGAGCGCCCTCGATATGGGCGTGTCCTGATGTGTTGATCTCCAAGGCCGACTTCATGATCTTCTCAAAGAGATCCAGCAGCAGCGCGCCTTCGAAAGTGGATGCCGCTTTTGCTGTCGTGGGATCTTGTAGGGCGATGTTGATCTCCCGTAGTGCTTGACAGTACTTTCTGCGTCCTAGATCTCTTGCAGTCTCAGAAGAAACCTGATGGGACAAGAAAGCGAGACTGACCGCCTCGATGCTCAAAGCAAGATATTTGGGCGCGGATCTTGGGTCTAGATAGTTGTATAGGAAGTCCCATGTGCGACTGAAATCGGAGACGTAGTACGTGAAGAACATGTCTCTACCGAGGGTCAAAAGGTCTTGGGGTAGATGTCGAACCTTAAACTTGACGTTGGGTTCGCCAACACATCGTTGCTTCAGCGATGACCTTGTCTTTGCTAGGGCCTTCGTCCGTACAAAGTCGGTCTGGTCGCTGATCCGAATGTTGATCGTGTCGCGATAGCCGGTGCATGCTGCTCCCACTCGAATGCAAGAGTTGCAACTTGGCCGTTGCAGATCACACTGGATGTGTCAGTAAGAGATCCCAACTTTGGATTCGAGGCATACTCGTAGTCTTCTCTCTCTACATCTTTCGCAAAACTTGGATGGTTTGCCGCGGAACACCATCAGATTCTCTGCAGCGTGAATGAGTTGTCAATCTGTGGGCCTGTTGAGCCTCAATGGATACTAAAAGAAATAAAGTGTAGGTTCAATATCATTGACAAGTCTCATTTTACCAAGCAGATGAAAGGGGTTGTGTGGTGTATAGGGCTGCCGGCAGCATATAGATGACTAGAAGCTGACTGCCGTACTAGTCCCAAGAAGGAATGCATCTCGTGCTGCGTCCACTAGCGCGATGTAAGCATGAAGGACGACTGCCAGCCAGTCGCGTAGGGGGTAGATGTTGCATTCCGAGGTCTGGCCTATCATCTGATAATCTGAACTTATTGATGAGAAGCCTCAAAAGGTCAGCAACGTTCCACAGCCGCGTAACTCACAGGTGCCATCCAATGACAAAAGCGTAGATGCGTCGTATGCGCTGCTCCACCTGAGATCGTAAATCGCTTTGGCCGCTACCTACATCATCGTGCATTGGATTCCCAAAGAAGTGAGGTGGGTGGGAAGAAATCAGGGCACCCGATAAGACTTATGTCGCGCCTTCCACCTCCAAGCCAGGTCCTATCCTTATCCCCAGCTCGAGGACGAGCTGTACATGCATCGCAACACAGAGCACATATTGAGCGCATCGCGGGGATCCATAAAATTTATAAGGGAAGATAGAGGTGCATTCCATGCTTGCAGTCGATCTGCATCTTTGATGAAAAACGAAGCCTAATCGCTATCGTCGTATTTATTTCCAACCCCGACATCACCTAGTAATATGTCATCAGGCGCTGGGCCCCTGTGATTCCTCACCCACTCTGTCTCTACGCGGAAGAAGATCCATATCCATCTCCGCAACACCTCGAGAACTTCCATTGTAAAGATGCCCCCTTCCAAATCGTTGAAATGATCCAGATGCACACTGAGTTTCAGACTCCAAGTGCACCTCAGCATTGCGTCCACTGCAATCGCTGCATAGTAGAATTCTTTGGCATGGAACCAGCGATGCCGCCTTAGACCCCGTGGGTATTCTGGGCTATCCCGAGTACGGGCATTAGAGAAGAGAGTAAGATCCCAATCCTTGGCTACGTCCCAGTAGAAAGAGTAGCCAGAGTTTACCACCACTGCGACGAGCCACATACGGAACAACGTCGCTTCCGAAACACCAAAGCGTGAAGGATCAGGCGAGCGTTGCAGAGCACTCAGTATGATGACAGGAAATGCGGTCGAGTATTTCAGTGCGTTGGCCAGATGCTGGCCACCCCATCCTGTCGCTGGACTGATCTGCCCGGTTTGCTTGTTCGCCTTCTGAACACGATAGTATTCCGTGATACACTGCCGCAATCGAATCATCGAGGGTATGGCAATGATGAAGGGAACCCAAAACACGCCGCCGCAACTCCTGTTCGGGGGCCCTGTTGAGCTGTGCGACGACGAGAAGAACATGCACAGTGAGACAAATAGATCGCCCAGCACCTTCGCATAACTCGTCAACGCATCGGCGAGCAGAATGTCTCCAAACTTTCCGTCTTGTGCTTCTGCGATGCCGCCGATCGATATGCGCTTCAGCGTCGCCAGTGTACGAGTCCGTCCATTGCGACTAACGAATGGCAGCGGTATGACGAAGCCAATAACTAGTACCAAGAGGTATAGGTTTGGCAGAATTTCCCAAGCGGCAATGTCTGTAGGGCTGCCGTGCGTAAGGGTCCAGAATAGGAGCAGCGACAGGGCGAGCGGGATGGAGAGGAAGGTTGCGATGCGGTAGCAGGAGAGGTGGTGCGGGATATGGCGGGGTGAGGTACGGCCCGGGTAGCGGATCAGACTCGGGACGTCTATCTTTATGAGGGTGAGGTAGTGGAGGTTTAGACCCCAGGCCCAGATGCCTGTGCGGCAGTTAGTAAGGTGGTTGAGAGCAGATGGCGTGAGCGTTCGCATACCCAGGACTATTATAAGAGCGACGCGATACGGCAGGGGCAGGACGCGACTGAAGCCATCGATTTCTGGCTCGACGGCGGGATCACCGTCCATTTCTCGAATGCGCGCTCGGTTCCGTGGCGGTTGCTGTGTCCCAGCCTGTAGTCTGCCGTATGATCATGAAGCTCCTCGATGTAAAAGACACCCCCAATTTGGACCCTCTCTTCACAGCTATCTCCGGTCGTGTTGGCGCAAGGGGTTGCAGATGTCGCGATAGCGTGTCCACTTCCCCAAGGCGATGGCACCAAACACGCTAGCTAATTTACAAGCCACTCTTCAGCCGCCGTTGCGTTACGTCAGCATGGGCTTCAGCCTCACGCGCGCTAGCTGCATCGTGCCTGGCGGAGTGGATCTTTGGTTTGTGCGACGACCGCGGGAGCTTTGCCTAAAGCACAAGGCCATGACGCGATCATCGCGACGACAAAGTGACGCTTCTCCGCCGTATGCTATTGGGTACCTGACTTTGAAGGGAAAACAACGCCTAGATCTCTAAGCTCGCTGCACTACTTGCTTCTTCTCCACATACCAAGGTTTCCATTAACTGTCCTTACTTCGTGCGTCACACCACCCAGCACGACACACAGCACCTTCCACTTCATCTCTGTCGCTCTAAACCTCCTCCCTCACCTCCTCCCACTTCCACCTCGTCAATTGAAGGGAGACAGCAGGACCAACAGCAATCATGTCGCCTCTCTCTGTTCCTAAAATTTTCATGGCTGGCGGCGCCGTCGGCTTCGGCTACTACCTCTTCATGCGCCAATACTGGTTCCCCAACCCGTACAAGACACAGGGCGTCCAGAACATTGAGGATCGCTTCTCAGCTGGCGGAGGCCACCCTACGCACACACCTGCTGGAGGAACCCAGCGCGGTACGGGTATAATGAGCTCCCCAGACTTAAAACCCTGGAAGTACATAGAACGGAGTTTGCTGACATCAAGCTTGTAGGCTCTGCGTCCGCAAACGAAGGAAGGCACGACGGCCCGAGCAAGGGCCCAGACTCGGAGCACTTCAAGAAGAACATCAGCGACCAGCAGAGTGAGGTATGTGGCACACTGATTTCGATGCCCGAGGACTGTGCTAACGTGCGATAGCCTGTCTGGCCGAGCAAATTCAACGAGATACAATACAACAACCCCAAGGGCAAATAAGCGACTCCGGACCGATCGAGCAGACACAAAAAAGCATGGCAATATACAGCCAGGGGGCATTGGGCATCTGATGAATGGCATCATTGGCGTTTGGCAGAGAGCGATGCACGATAGCATCCTGTAGATTTTTGAAACCCTCACTGTTGCGGCCAGTCGAGCGCAATGAGGCCCCCAGATGATCGAGAAATAACAAAACCAATTTTCCAAGGAGCGCCCAATGCCGTGTCGCTGTCAGCATCTCTCGGTACCTACTGAAGTCCATGCTGTTCCGCGTAGCTGTGGAAGTGGAACTACACATGCCGGGATCATATTGACGAATAAGCAACGTCACACCGCAACAAAATGAACCGAGGTAATGCAGCGGAGGAATTCAGCAAGAAAGTGTTCACACGCGCTGGCTTTTTCGAAAAGTGCGACGTATAGAAATGCCGGTGACTATGTACGAAACAATCCAAGGCCTAGATCTTCGCATTGCCCGTTTTCCTTGCGGCTGTATTCCTGGCAGCATCCAACACAAATGCTACATGATGGCTCAAGGCCACCAGATCGCCATCAGCATCGTGCACCCACACTTCCAAGTCCATCCTACCGTTTGCCACCTTCTTCATACCTGCCCTAACCTGCAGCCACTTGACTCCCTGCGGCGGCAGCGCTTTCTTGATGTCCAGATTCAGGAGGAGGGTTGGATACCAAAAGGGCCCCTCTCCTTCGCCCTTGATTGACTCAACCATCAACGGGAACATGTCTGCGACAAAGCCGACCGAGGAATCCGTGAAGTTTGTCCCATCAGAGAAGCAGATCCACTCATCAGCGAGATGCTTTAGGCTTCGTCCTTCCCGAGGGAAATAAAACTTCACCCTCTTCGTCGCTTTTCGGAAGTTGGCGTGCGGCAATTCTGGTTGGAGCCTCCAGTTTGTATCTTCATCATTTTCCAGCTTTGTCAGGTCGACTGACGGTACGGGCGGTGAAAGCTTGTATCCGACATCTTGGGTGAAGCCCTTTTCCGTATCCATGTTGGAGTTTGTGACGTACGCGACGACTTCCTGTCGGCCGTCTTGCTCCATGGTCACATGTACGATAGACGTTTGGCGACCAAGTTTAACATCGTCGACTTTGTATGTTGCGGGCCCGGCTTGGGTACGTCTCAGGAACTCAATGTGGAGAGCTATGGTGTGTGGCTGGTTCTGCTTCGCCAAAGTTGTGCTGAAATGTGTTTTGACTACCTCCAGTATGCTAAGAAGTCGAGATGTGGTTAGTCAAGAGTGTGAAGCAAAACGCGATGGGTCTTACCATCCTGTAACGTAGCCACCATTAGGAACTGTTGCCGTTAGTAAAAGCGGATGATGTTATCTCTGCTGGGGTCTAAAATACCGCTTCCGATGCTCCAATCATCGTGTAGTGTACATGAGTACGTGTTGGAGGACAGTTTCTGTACTGCAGTAGCTTCTTCCCAACTCGGCATCTCGATAACCTAATAGTGCGAAACTTTCGTGTGTTTGGAGAACTAATAGGTCTATATGGCCAGGCTATCGATGTTCGAGGTTGTCGCAATGCCGTTGACCTCGGGAGGCCATGTGCAGCTATCGCGCCGCTAACGCCAAAAGCAGAAAGAACCTCGGTCATGGTTGCCCGGAGTTGTGGGGT